TATAAGAAGAAGAAGAGTATTAATGTTGGGTTTGATGCTGAATATACCAAAACACCTGCCAAAGTGTTGTGGTATCTTCCTATCATTCCTAGATTTAAAAGATTATTCATTAATGAGAAAGATGCAAAAAACTTAGTGTGGCATGCTCAAGGCACGAAAAAAGATGAGTACTTGCGACATGTATCTGATGCACCACAGTGGAGGCAAATTGATTTGAAATATCCTGATTTTGGCAAAGAAGACAGGAATTTGAGACTTGGATTATACACTCATGGTATGAATCCATATGGCACATTGAGTAGTCAACATAGTACTTGGCCAGTTTTATTGGTTATTTATAATTTGCCTTCATGGTTGTGCATGAAGAGGAAGTACATAATGTTTTCTCTGCTTATCTCGGCACCACAACAACCCGATAATGATATTGATGTGTACCTCGCACCATTAGTTGATGATCTTAAACTTATGTGGAATGAGGGTGTTACAGCATATGACATGCACACAAAAACAAATTTTAATTTGCGTGCTTTGTTGTATTGCACTATTAATGACTTTCCAGCTTATGGAAATCTTTCTGGATATACGGTTAAAGGTGGAAAGACATGTCCCATTTGTGAAGATGACACTCTTGATTTGCGATTACCCAATTGCAAAAAGAATGTATACATGAGTCATCGAAGATTTCTTCCACGAAACCATCGTTATCGTGCACTCAAAAAGGCATTTAATGGAAAAGCTGAACATGGTGTTCCTCGACGTGTATTAAGTGGATCAGAAATATATGATAAGGTCAAAGATTTGAACATGGTTTTTGGTAAGCCATATAAGCGGAACAAACAGAGTTTGTGGAAGAAGTCTATTTTTTGGGAACTTCCGTATTGGAAGGACTTATCTGTGAGGCATTGTCTTGATCTTATGCACATTGAAAAAAGTGTGTGTGAAAGCATCATTTCGACCATTATGAATGTTCCCGGAAAGACAAAGGATTGAATTAATATCCGAAAAGACATGATTGAACATTTAAATATTTGAAAAGAATTGGCACCACAACCGCGGGAAAATGGTTTTTATCTTCCACCAGGTTGCTACACACTCTCAAAGGTTGAGAAACGATTTTTTTGTGAAAGCTTATATGGCATCAAAGTGCCTTCAAGGTATTCTTCAAATTTTAAGAATCTCGTATCATTGAAGGATATGAAATTGGTTGGTTTGAAGTCTCATGATTATCATGTTCTGATGCAACATTTGTTGCATGTTGTTCTACGAGGGCTTTTACCTGATAATATTAGATGTGCGATCATGAGGTTGTGTTTCTTCTTCAATTCCATATGTCAGAAAGTAATTCACCCTGAGCAACTTGATGCGTTGCAAGCTGAAGTGGTTATTACATTGTGTCAGCTTGAAATGTATTTTCCACCTTCACTATTTGACATTATGAAAAATCTTTTGGTACATCTGGTTAGAGAAGTCAAAATGTGTGGTCCTGTGTTTTTACGATACATGTACGGAATGGAAAGACATATGGGATATTTGAAATCAAAGGTGATTTCACATAAGTATATTTTACGTATAAACTTTTCACATAAGTATATTTTACATAAGAATGTTTTACGTATAAATTTTGTAACTCTTCACATAAGAATGTTTTACGTATAAGATGTTTCACATAAGTATATTTTACGTATAAACTTTTCACATAAGAATGTTTTACGTATAAACTTTTCACATAAGAATGTTTTACGTATAAATTTTGTTTTACGTATAAATTTTGTAGCTCTTCACATAAGAATGTTTTACGTATAAGATGTTTCACATTAGTATATTTTACGTACAAACTTTTCACTTAAGAATGTTTTACGTATAAATTTTGTAACTCTTTTTTTATATGTAATAGGATAAAATTCAAGATGATGTTGCTACAAAGACATGAAAGCCACACGAACGACATGATATTCTTACCGAGATATTTGAGAAACCTGATTATCCTGGACGTGTACGTGGCATTGGAGGAGGTGTGGGGCATAAAAGAGTGTTTGAGCAAGAGCCGAGGAGTTCACGTAAGATTGGTAATTTGAGCGATACTGATTTGAAGAAGTTACAGGATCAGTGGATGAAAGATATGGAAAAAGCTTTTGCTCAAAGAGGATTCCAATCTACCACATTTCCATCTACGCATTCTCAAACAGTAGATGCAGACACTATGAACTCCACGACACCTATTCCACGATTTTTTGTTGTTGTAAGTAATTATTAAAATCATATATATTTATTAATGTCTACAATATTTATTAACTTTTTTTTGAAAATAATTATAGGACGATTCATCCTGTAAGCTAGCTGTTGAGTCACAAGCAGAAGATGGACAAAAAGATTTGAAATATGTAGCAATGGCTTTGGCTTATAATACCGCCCCGGGGGCCATGATACATAATATTCCGATGTCTGCTAATACCATTAAAGTTAACATATCTATGATTTATACAGGTTTTGTAAACTGTCATCCTTTGTTTTCATAGTGTTCACAAATTTTGTGAGATGCAAATCTTTAAATGTTAGTGGACAGGTTCTCACACTGGTGGCTGTCTCAGATGAGACCCTTTGCATTTTCCTGAAATTCTGTAGTTACCCTCTCACCCGGTTAATATCAGGATTTTTTTTAAAAAATAATTGGCTATTGAATAGGCAGTAAGATATGTTGCCTTTGCTCTGTTTGAAGTCATGTCACGTAAGTAATTAGCGAATTATAAGTTATTTTTAATATTTGAGAATATAAGCAATATTACCAATCAAATTTTACTAATTTTAAGTTTAGATAGTGTTGATTTTCAAGAAATCATAACTTTTTACTTGTAATACGTTACGAGAGCCTTAATATATCAAATCAAAATTATTTCATCGCTCTATACTCTCAAACTTTCAGGTGGGTCGCATGACCATCCTGTCCCCGGTCTGGCTCCACCTCTGACAATAGTATGTTAATGGGTTAGCAATGACATCACAAATATATGAGTTTAAGGTGAACATGTGACCTAATAATATACTGTCTATAAATAGTAATTGAATATTTTAACAAAATTTGATATGAAATGGGTGTGTTAGGTTCGAAAGAGTCTAATTGAATATTTGATTATAATATAAGGGCACATTTGTTATACACATGTGGCATAAACCTTCACATAATATTTACATAAAATATAAACTCATGGAGTTCCATATGAAATAATTAAAATTAATTTATAAATAACTTTTTTATTAACTAAACCTAAGTTTTTGGTAAATAAATTGCAAAACACTTTCCTAGATTCCCCAATATCTTTTTTTGTATATTGTAGATGAAAATATTCTACTTTCAAAAGGTCTTGATCTTATTTGTTATTAAGAAGGGTCAAATAATGAAAATATACTTGCCTTCTACGAGAAATTGTGTGTATGTGTGTGTGTGTGTGTATATATATATATATATCTTTGGAGAAAATTCTAATTGGGTCACTAAATATTGATTTCAAAGGAGGTTTCTTACTATTGAAGTTTTGTATAACCTCTGTCTTGTTCAAAGGTTCTCATTGGGTCAATAATTCTAATTGGCACAATTATTTAGATAAAATTCTATCTTTGGAGAAAATTCTAATCGGGTCAATAATTCTAATTGCCATAATTATTTAGACAATAATTAAAAATGTTAATTCAAATATATTATGAGAAATAATTTTGATGGGTATGTAATATATTGATTTATTGATTATAACTATATGATGTTATGGATGTATTATTTTTAATATTGATGATTAAATTGTTATTTAAGAGTGTTAATTGTTTCTAAATATAAAATGAGAACCTTAAGCTGAGATGTCTAAAAAAGGAAAATGTGAACTTTGAATGAGACAGAAGGAGTAATATTTTTGTAGGTTTAGTCGCTATCATAGTTTATCATAAAAGATTAGGGAATAGGCTGAGAAATTATGAGTTGCTCATCTGCTAAACATAAATTTTATTTCTCTATATGAAAAAGAAATAAATAAATAAATAAATAAATAAATAAATAAATCAAGAAAGATATAAATAAATGAATATGTTTTCTCTTTCTTCACATTGTTCAATACTTGTATTGTCATTTTATGGTGTCAAACTTAATTTTGAATTCTCCTCACACGCCATTTAAAAATTAAAATTTCCGAAATTGAGAAGTAGACTCCAAAATAAGAGTATTACATATTTCTAAATAGGTCTGGAGTAATTACTGCCTGGAAAATACTGTTATGAAATTAAAATTGTCATACCAATGTCTGAAAATGTCAAAATATGACGGTAATGCAAAAATATGATAAAAATGTGAGATAGCTCTTATTTTAATATTTTACGTGCTTTTTATATCTATTTTTGATAATCTCCCTAAAACTGTCCAATTCTGTGGTTAACATGATTGAGAAGTTATCAATCACGCTATATACTTTTAATAATGGAGAATACGCAGTATTTATTGAGGAAGACAATTTTGGAAGATTACAATTAATGCGTGCAAGGTGTGGTTAGACTTAAGATAGAGCAATCGAGTTTCTTTAATGTTGTACAGTTGCAACTTCCAACTAATCGAGAAATTGTACCTTTAAATTCAATGTAATAAATATCGGCTAAATGAGAAATGTTTTTTCTAGTACTATCGTATTGATTTTTTTTTTTTGCTTTTTAAGTCTTTTGTTGCTCTTAAACTTGATTTTACTTGAATAATACTCCCTCCGTTCCAATTTGATTTGCAAAATATCTTTTTTTTTGTTCCAAAATGGTTTTCCATTTTCTATTTTAGGTATGTAAATAAGAATAAAGTGACAAATTTACCCTTACTTTTATTTTTTTCCAATTAACTTAAAGACATCTACTTTTAGAAAGATTGACAAAAGTGTAAAAAGCAAGCATCATTTATTGTCACATGAAATTTCGGTCATCGCGTCGGACTTCTTGGTTGGGAATTTGAATAGTATTGCAGTTTAGTTGAAACATTTACATATATTAATATATATAGTTATGGTAGTGATTTATTTCATTTAAGAGATAAAATACAAAAAATGCAACAAAATCAATAATCGCTGCACCATTTGTGCATTTACTATATTGAACCACAAGATACTTGGCACGAAGACTCAATATAACAAGTATCAATATAAACAAAAAAATATTACTCGAAATAGACTAAAAAGGTTTTAAAATTCTAAAATAGGACTAATTACTATCATGTTTTGGCAGTTTCAGACTTCAAAAATGACAGAATTTTCTAAACTTGACAGTAATTACCCGCATTTTGGAAATAAAAAACATGACAGTCTTATTTTGAAATTTTCAAACTGTTTTAGTCCATTTCGGGAACTTTCCCGTATAATAATTATGAAGTACATATGAAAACATACTATATACGCTCCAATAATGTGAGGAGAACCAAGAAACTAACAAATGTTTGAAGAAAAAACATCAAGAAATCACAGCCTCACGATTTGAAGGAATACTATCTATAGCGTCAAGACCAAGATCTGTGAACGTAAGAACCCCTCCATCATTGCACCTTGATAGCAGCCTGGCAGCCTCTTCTTTGGTCAACAATATTTTTACTTTGACTCCGCCAGAGTTCTTCTTCTTGACTGGTTCTTCCTCACTTTCTTCTCCCCCTTGTTGACCCAAGTCAAACCTCACTTTCTTCTTGATCTTATTGTGAGATGGTGGCTTCTTTGTGGTGTCTAGCTCCTCTCTATAAACGTGTACTGTGGTTTGAACAGCTTTGGGTTTTCTTGCTTTATCACACTGATCTTGTAGGCTTGCTTTCTTGAAGAAAGGATTGAGACTTCTCATCAACATGGTTTCTTCCTTTTATGGTTGAACTGTGATAACCTATTGGTTCTACACTTAGCTTTTACAGAGATATGGAACTGAAGTGGCGAATATAGTCGGAGGAAGCTAAGTGTTGTAGTGTGAAGAATATTGGGAAAACATGGTGTGTTTATATATTGAAGGCAATCGTTGAATTGCGTGGTGGTTTCGTGTGGTAGCTAGGAAACTTCAATGCACATACTAGCTAGGAGTGTGGGACTTTAATAATTTTGTACTATTATACTATAAGATTGTTCATACTTAACAGTAATGGTGATATCTAACGAACTTTTGTTTCCTACGCATCATAATAATAAAGTAATATTCAAATGCGCGCAAGTAAAACATTAATAGAATTGTAAGAAAATTAGTGTGTCTTTTTTGGCAAAAGATAACTTAATTAATATTAAAATCGAGTTCTGATCCTAATGTTAATATTAATATTTAATAGTGACTCTAATGTGCAAGACCAACCTTTCCTTTCCACCAAGAGAGCCCTCATTTAGTTGCACAAGCGATCCGATGTTCTTAGCTATTCCAAGAGCTGCCCTTACCGTCATGTAGCTTAACGGTAGCTAGGTTGTGAACTTGAACCCAAAAGTCCGCATGATCCAGTGGAACCTCCAGAGGTTTGTCAGTGCACCTCACTCGTTTGATAACCACATGATTCTACTCAAAGGACCAATGCCCTTCATCAACAACTTTATTTAGATCTCTTTCATGATAGAACTGGAATAGGAAATTGGAATCCCGAATTTCATTAATTGAAACTCCCTTGACTGGTCGCCAAACCATAGCATTGTTTGGCAAAAGGAACAACACGAACGGGTTTGTCTGAAACCACTCTAGCCACAGTCGATTAGCGTGTCTTTTATACTTTAATTATATATATATGATTTCACATTACAACTCTTCGCTCATTTGTTTTAACTTATAACTCAACACATCAACCCTAGTCTGTTTACTTTAAGGGGGCATGTGGCTTTTTACTTAAATATGACTAAATTGAAGTTGAATTTATATGATTTAACATGATTTTCTTAAACTAAACATGTTAAACTTTTTGAAAGTTGAACATGAGGGGGGAAATTATAGTGCTAATAAATGTCCCACAATTTTCGAAAATATCTGAAAAATTCCTATATGTCCGAAAAAAGCATACATTTGAATATATAAAAATATAACACGTAGAAAATGCATTTATATATAAATGTCCGAAAATGAGAATGCAAATAACATGCATTTGAGTATATATTCATGTAAACTTAGAAACATAAATATAATCATATAAACATATAAATGAACAATAAATATTTAGGGTATGCATTTATAAGAAGTAGAACATACATTCGAGTATAAAAAAAGTAAATCAACGACATTTAAAAATATGTACCATATAAGTATATAAACATGCATTCGAGTAAAAGTATAACATGTAGAATTTAAAAAAACGAGTATAAGAAGTAGAATATACATTTGAATATATAAATATGCATTTGAGTATATAGACATGCATTTGATTATATAACAATTTAAACAAATAAACAAGAGTTTCCCACGATCAAGAGCATGCATTTTAATAATCAACATGAATACCTTATTTAAATTTATTAATAATCATTTAATAATCAACATGCACACAATTTCTTAGATAAACAAATAAATATTAAACAAATACGAAGTTTTAATCAAGTCGAAAAATAATAATAAAAAATGCATTATTTGGCTTATAAAAACATTTTTAATCAAATATTAATAAACATAAAACTGAAAAACTAAAAGAATGAGAAACATGACCTTAAGAAAGGGCAAGGAACGGCAAAGAACGGCGGCGGAAAGCGGCGGGGGAAGAAGTGGGTTTGAGAGAGGAGGGAATAAGAGGGTTTGAGAGAGGAGGGAATAAGAGGGTTTGAGAGAGGAAATTAGGGTAGGCCGAAGTTTTGGAAGCGTGGGATGGGAAAATAGCTAAGTGCTGTTTATATATTAAGAAGTTGTCACGGACAGGTCCATGACAAATCCGTGACAAAATTCAAAATTTGAATTTTGTCACGGATTTGTCACGGATCTGTCCGTGTGACAAATTCCAACGGATATAATAATTTAGGTGCTGCAGACGAGGCGTCAGGAGCTGCAGTCGAGGCGTCAGTGGCTAGTTGACCGGCGGCTTGTCACGGATAATTCCGTGACAAGCCGCCGGGTCAATTTCTCAGGCAGTCCGTCGCTTTGTCAGTGCGGCAGAGGAATCAATTCGAATTTGTCACGGAACAATCCGTGACAAATCCGTGACTAATGAATCTATAAATAAGTGTTATCCGGCCCAATTTCTAAATGCAAAAAAATGGCTAATCCACAAACAATTAACTGGAAGTACTTGTGTAGAAGTATACACCGATTGAAACTAGTTACACAGTTGATGAGGCCCGCATATGAAGAATCAGTGCCGATGATCCGTGAGCTGATGGCTACACCTGTTGAAAGTTTTGGCAACATTGTAGACTTTGAATCACACACATTCCACATTTCAAGAAAAAAAATCTTAGGCATCTTATTCGTCTGGAAGAATGTTCAGAATGTATGGTACCAATAAACGCAGAAGCTGCATAGAGAATTAACGAGCTGTTCGCTATGCCTCTTGATGAAAGATTTGACTAAATTTGTGTTTGTTTGTTTATCAATAATGTTACTTGTTAAATGATGAATAAATTTGTGTTTACTTGTTAAATCTAATGAAAATTCGAATTATTATTATTTTTGAATGAATAATGTTAAAAAATCAAATTATTAAAATTTAATTATTTTTCAATTTTCGAATTATTAAATTAATTTTCAATTTCCGAATTTAAAAAAAAATCGTAGTTGTAATTATTTGAACAGAATTTCGTCCACAATTTTATTAATTAATTAATACAGTATGTGATAATTATTTAAATGATGAAAAAATAAAGTAAAAAAATTCAAACGAAAACAATTTAATTAAAAGTGATACATTGATTACACAAATTAACAATACAATTAATCTCTATCGGAATCAGTATTTTCTTCATAGTAAGTTTCTTCTTCTGTATCTATCCATTCTTCTTGTTCCTCCTGTTCAGAGTCTTGTTGTTGTTCATACATTTCAACAATTTCGCGTTCAGATTGAGGTTCTGGGGGCGGAAGGTGTGTTTCTGGCATGACTTCAATATGTTGGCCATTTGGATCACATAACTCAATGTAATGCTTGACCGTCTCAGCAATAGCAGGAGGTTGGAAAAGATCTTGCTGAAAAGCATCAAGATCAACATCCTTGTGTTGAGCATGTGATCCAATTTCGCTCGAACGGACAGTACATGCACACACCCAAGGACTCGGTGTGCGCCTGGTTGAAGGATACCCTGCATAATAAATCTGAGCTGCTTGTTGAGCGAGTATAAAAGGTTCATTTTTCTGATACACGCGAGAGTGGTTGACGTCAATTATATTATACTTTGAATTTTTTCTCACACCACGTGTAGGATCGACCCATTTGCAGCGGAACAAAACACATTTCAATTCTTGTTCACGGTACCAGAAGGCAATTGAAGTTCGAGAATCTCGTGCAAGAAACCATAAAAATTGGTTTCCGGGTTATCTGAACCGATGGTTGAGACACATATCCCACTGTTCATTGTTGGTCTGTCTTGTCCATATTCATTTATCACATACGAATGCCAAACTTTTGCACAGGAAGAAGGACCCCACATTAATGATACTAACAGAGGGTCGTCAATTCCACGGCAGTTGATCTGTAAATCAAAACATGATAGCATTAGGTAATTATTAAAAATTATTAGCTAATAGTATATAATATGTATATATATACCTGATATTTGTACCATGCAATAAAATCAGAGTCCACCAATGCATCAATTGCATCATCAAAAAATGCTGATAAAGATGCTCTAAATTCATTGTGAATTCAAATGTACAGATATTATAATACTCTTGGTGAAAGTTATGGCTTTATTACAAATATAATAATAAATTTAACTTACTTATAAAACGGTATGATTTCTGGACAATTCATCAGGATGTAAGTGTGTGCAATTTGAAGTTCTCCACCCACGATGTAACGCTGAGTCGCGACTCCTTTACCTCTACCTGGGTAATTGAAAATGGAAACTACTTTGTCATATGCATCCTCACCAATGTCATCGTTCCGGGCAGACTTCTTTCTTTTAGTGATGACTTCACGCTCAAAGTAAAAAGATAAAAATGTTGAGATTTCTTGTTGAATGTATGCTTGACAAATTGAAGCCTCAACATGTGCCTTGTTGGTCACTTACTTTTTCAGCTCTCCCATGAATCTGTCATGCAAAATAAAAAATATAAACAAACAAATGTTCTTATTAAAAAATCTTCAAATATAAATGAAATGGTGACTAACCTTTCAAATCTGTACATCCAACGATAGAAGACGGGTCCTCCATTCAAAGCCTCATACGGAAGATGTATTATAAGATGTTCCATTCCATCGAAAAATGATGGATGCAATATTTATTCCAAATTACACATCAAAATGGGCACGGAGTCTTCTACTCTCCGGAGGGATTCAACATCCAAAACGGTGGAACATATTGACTGAAACAATAGACTGATTTCGGTAATACAGCCCCATACGTCTGCAGGAAGCATTTCTTTAAATGCAATCGGCAGAAGTCTTTGAATGATTACATGAGCATCAAGAGTTTTCATGCTCGACGTCATGGTTAGTTTGTCCATGTTCACGCACCTGGACATGCTAGAACAATAGCCATCTGGAAACTTTAGAGACACAAGTCACTCTAAGATTGATTGATTGCTTTTGTGCTTCTGTGAGTTGATAGACTGCTTTTGGAACATTACTAGTATGTTCTAGATCAACAAAAAGTTCCAGTCTATCACACCACATTGTCATGTCTTTTCTAGATGCAAGCCTGTCTTTGGTTCTGGCTTTGAAATCCATCACCGTGTTAAATATATTGTCAAAGACGTTCTTCTCAATGTGCATGACATCTAAGTTGTGGCGAATGAGAAGGTCTTTCCAATATGGCAACTCCCAAAATATACTCCTCTTTGTCCAGTTATGGGTAATACAATACCAATGTGGGTCCTTGTGTGGCTCTTGCACTGCCGAACGAATACGTCGAACCCTGTTAAAAATTTGTTCGCCTGTAAGTCTCG